GCATACATGATTATGGCCCACACGGTCCATGGAGGGGAAGCATACATGATTATGGCCCACACGGTCCATGGAGGGAAGCATACATGATTATGGCCCACACGGTCCATGGAGGGAAGCATACATGATTATGGCCCACACGGTCCATGGAGGGAAGCATACATGATTATGGCCCACACGGTCCATGGAGGGAAGCATACATGATTATGGCCCACACGGTCCATGGAGGGAAGCATACATGATTATGGCCCACACGGTCCATGGAGGGAAGCATACATGATTATGGCCCACACGGTCCATGGAGGGAAGCATACATGATTATGGCCCACACGGTCCATGGAGGGAAGCATACATGATTATGGCCCACACGGTCCATGGAGGGGAAGCATACATGATTATGGCCCACACGGTCCATGGAGGGAAGCATACATGATTATGGCCCACACGGTCCATGGAGGGAAGCATACATGATTATGGCCCACACGGTCCATGGAGGGAAGCATACATGATTATGGCCCACACGGTCCATGGAGGGAAGCATACATGATTATGGCCCACACGGTCCATGGAGGGAAGCATACATGATTATGGCCCACACGGTCCATGGAGGGGAAGCATACATGATTATGGCCCACACGGTCCATGGAGGGAAGCATACATGATTATGGCCCACACGGTCCATGGAGGGAAGCATACATGATTATGGCCCACACGGTCCATGGAGGGGAAGCATACATGATTATGGCCCACACGGTCCATGGAGGGAAGCATACATGATTATGACTCACACGGTCCATGGGGAAGCATACATGATTATGGCCCACACGGTCCATGGAGGGAAGCATACATGATTATGGCCCACACGGTCCATGGAGGGGAAGCATACATGATTATGGCCCACACGGTCCATGGAGGGAAGCATACATGATTATGGCCCACACGGTCCATGGAGGGAAGCATACATGATTATGGCCCACACGGTCCATGGAGGGAAGCATACATGATTATGGCCCACACGGTCCATGGAGGGAAGCATACATGATTATGACTCACACGGTCCATGGAGGGAAGCATACATGATTATGGCCCACACGGTCCATGGAGGGAAGCATACATGATTATGGCCCACACGGTCCATGGAGGGAAGCATACATGATTATGGCCCACACGGTCCATGGAGGGAAGCATACATGATTATGGCCCACACGGTCCATGGAGGGAAGCATACATGATTATGGCCCACACGGTCCATGGAGGGAAGCATACATGATTATGGCCCACACGGTCCATGGAGGGAAGCATACATGATTATGGCCCACACGGTCCATGGAGGGAAGCATACATGATTATGGCCCACACGGTCCATGGAGGGAAGCATACATGATTATGGCCCACACGGTCCATGGAGGGAAGCATACATGATTATGGCCCACACGGTCCATGGAGGGAAGCATACATGATTATGGCCCACACGGTCCATGGAGGGAAGCATACATGATTATGGCTCACACGGTCCATGGAGGGGAAGCATACATGATTATGGCTCACACGGTCCATGGAGGGAAGCATACATGATTATGGCCCACACGGTCCATGGAGGGAAGCATACATGATTATGGCCCACACGGTCCATGGAGGGAAGCATACATGATTATGGCCCACACGGTCCATGGAGGGAAGCATACATGATTATGGCCTACACGGTCCATGGAGGGAAGCATACATGATTATGGCCCACACGGTCCATGGAGGGAAGCATACATGATTATGGCCCACACGGTCCATGGAGGGGAAGCATACATGATTATGGCCCACACGGTCCATGGAGGGAAGCATACATGATTATGGCCCACACGGTCCATGGAGGGAAGCATACATGATTATGCCCACACGGTCCATGGAGGGAAGCATACATGATTATGGCCCACACGGTCCATGGAGGGAAGCATACATGATTATGGCCCACACGGTCCATGGAGGGAAGCATACATGATTATGGCCCACACGTCCATGGAGGAAACATACATGATTATGGCTCACACGGTCCATGGAGGGAAGCATACATTGATTATGCCCACACGGTCCATGGAGGAAGCATACATGATTATGGCCCACACGGTCCATGGAGGGGAAGCATACATGATATGCCCACACGGTCCATGGAGGGAAGCATACATGATTATGATCACACGGTCCATGGAGGGAAGCATACATTGATTATGGCCCACACGGTCATGGAGGGAAGCATACATGATTAGGCCCACACGGTCCATGGAGGGGAAGCAATACATGATTATGGCCCACACGTCCATGGAGGGAAGCATACATGATTATGGCCCACACGGTCCATGGAGGGAAGCATACATGATTAATGCCCACACGGTCCATGGAGGGAAGCATACATGATATGCCCACAGGTCCATGGATGGGAAGCATGACATGATATGACTCACACGGTCCATGGAGGGAAGCATACATGATTATGGCCCACACGGTCCATGAGGGAAGCATACATGATATGGCCCACACGGTCCATGGAGGGAAGCATACATGATTATGCCCACACGGTCCATGGAGGGAAGCATACATGATTATGGCCCACACGGTCCATGGAGGAAGCATACATGATTATGGCCCACACGGTCCATGGAGGGAAGCATACATGATTATGGCCCACACGGTCCATGGAGGGAAGCATACATGATTATGGCCCACACGGTCCATGGAGGGAAGCATACATGATTATGGCCCACACGGTCCATGGAGGGAAGCATACATGATTATGGCCCACACGGTCCATGGGGGGAAGCATACATGATTATGGCCCACACGGTCCATGGAGGGAAGCATACATGATTATGGCCCACACGGTCCATGGAGGGAAGCATACATGATTATGGCCCACACGGTCCATGGAGGGAAGCATACATGATTATGGCCCACACGGTCCATGGAGGGAAGCATCCATGATTATGGCCCACACGGTCCATGGAGGGAAGCATACATGATTATGGCCCACACGGTCCATGGAGGGAAGCATACATGATTATGGCCCACACGGTCCATGGAGGGAAGCATACATGATTATGGCCCACACGGTCCATGGAGGGAAGCATCCATGATTATGGCCCCACACGGTCCATGGAGGAAGCATACATGATTATGGCCCACACGGTCCATGGAGGGAAGCATCCATGATTATGGCCCACACGGTCCATGGAGGGAAGCATACATGATTATGGCCCACACGGTCCATGGAGGGAAGCATACATGATTATGGCCCACACGGTCCATGGAGGGAAGCATACATGATTATGGCCCACACGGTCCATGGAGGGAAGCATAACATGATTATGGCCCACACGGTCCATGGAGGGAAGCATACATGATTATGGCCCACACGGTCCATGGAGGGAAGCATACATGATTATGGCCCACACGGTCCATGGAGGGAAGCATACATGATTATGGCCCACACGGTCCATGGAGGGAAGCATACATGATTAAGCATACGAATGACATAGAATGTGTATGCTTCCCTTTAAGGGAATTAAAATTGTTCGTCTATGAACTTCTTACCAGAGTGCGGTGGGCCTCACTGCTGCTCTCCCGAAAAGAAAAATAATCAAATAATGAAGGTTTTCAATAAGTCGGTGGTTTGAGCCCGCAGTATTCATCGTTTCAGAAGGGTAAAAGTCACAGTATAGTGACTGGAACAATTCACGACTAACCCACAAATTGATAATGGGAACCAGAAGACGTATGGGTCGGTCCTGGACCTGTATCAAGTCGCAACATGAAAGTATTTCACTATATACTCAGTGTAAAATGGTCAGCCCTTGTGTGTCAGTCAGTGACGAATGATGAAGGCTCAGTCCTTCGTCCACTTATTGAACGACGCATGTTTATTACCATTCTTTACTCGAATAAGCACCTGATAGTGGTTTAAACGTTTCCTAGCTTCCACGGCCAATTCTTATGTTAAATCTGAATTCATCGTTGTTACACTCGCAGTAGTATGAAGCCTCAGTTGTGTTGACAGGAACTCAAGGAAATATATGAACCAAGGAACTTAACTGCATATTATTGGCATATTATTATTATAATCAAAAAGAAGCGCTTTAACTGCACCAGTGAGTAATTTATGTGAGTTAGCGACAGTGTTGAGTAAGTTAGCATTGGATGTTGAGTAACTTAATAATTGTTCAGCAAAGTGTGATATGTGACGAAGTGTAAAGGTTTGAGAAGGCGGTGTTTTGAGGAAACATTCCTGTCGTTAACGTGTTTAAGGTCAGTGTTATACTGGCATTGCCAGAGACTCACAGTGAGTCGCGAGTCTGACCCGGTATTGCTCCACCTTCATATTCGACTATTAAATTAACGACAGCACAGGAAATTTCAACAAATACACATCAATAAAAATTCCAAAAGAAATTCTTGGAATACTTTAGCAGGAATTCCAGCAATTAATGTGAAACCGCATTTAGGAGGCATTTAATATTATCAACTTTTACCTCCGATATAAGCCAGGCAAGCAAAGCATATTTTATGCTCGGGATTAAAGCCATATAAGGCACATCCATGTGATGTGTCAACGACCTGGGCAGCCACTGGTTACCATGACGACGTCTGACACGGTTCGTGAGGGAGAGACCAGGTTTTAGCTGGTTTCAAGGGCTATACTTGATGTATGAGGCTTCTTATTCTCTCTCTCTCTCTCTCTCTCTCTCTCTCTCTCTCTCTCTCTCTCTCTCTCTCTCTCTCTCTCTCTCCGCATTTGTACAAGTTTCCAACAATCTTGATTTACCTTCTAAAAATCAATTTCTAGCTACTCATTCGCTTCCCTAAAATTCCAGCCCAAAACCTCACAGTTGCCAATAAGAACCACCTGGGGCGGCTGATTAACTTCTCGTCTCTCGTATTTTCTCTAGACGGTAGCGAGAGATATGAACAATTTGGGATGCTGGTGGATGTTTCATCTCTCATCTCTCTCTCTCCCTCAGACGGTAGTGAGGGAGATGAACCGCCTAGGGATGCTGGTGGATCTCTCCCACGTCTCTCAAGCCACCATGAAGGAGGCACTGGAGGTGTCGCGAGCTCCCGTCATCTTCAGTCACTCCTCCGTCTACGCTATCTGCAAGAACCCCAGGAACGTCCCCGACGACATACTCAAGAAGGTGGTGAGTAGTGGTGGCGAGAGTGAGGGAGAGTGAAGGAAGGATGTGGTGAGAATGAAGGAGAGTAAGGGAGGGTGTAGGACTGTGTTAAAGTGAGTGTGGGAGAGGTATCGAGAGTGAAGGATTGTGTGGGAGTATTTGATGTATGACAATATACAGCAACATATCAGTGGTAACTTTATGCTACTTGCACATACCCTGTTTTTTGCATACATTATTTGTATATAATACTGAGTGTGTGTGCACAAACACTGAAGTTTCTCCAAGTTCTGACAGGTCACACTGACACTAGTGAATCTATAACATGTATAACCTCAAAATACAATGAATACATTGTATTTCGTGTGAAACATGATAACATAGTTCCAATACGAACATCTTTTTCAAACTTCTCATTACCGAGTTTCCAATCAAACACTGTTCATTAACAAAATTGGGCACTCGTTTTGCCCTGATATAATACAATTCCAAACAAGCTTAAACAAATCTGCCTGTATATTTTTTAACAAAAACATTTGCCGAAATATGGATTGACCCTTGGTACATTATATCAGTGAAACTCAGGCATCACAGGAGGGTGCCAGGGGTGATCTGAAATCAGACTAGGGTGCCAGAGATTAATAGAGGCTACAAGACGGTGCCAGGGGTGATTAGAAGTTACACGAGGCTACCAGAGATGAATAGAGGGTTCTAGGGGTACCTAGAAGTCACATGGGGTGCCAGGGGAGATTAGAAGTCACAGGAGGATGCCAGAAGTGATTAGAGATCACATGAGAGTGCCAGAGGAGATCAGAGATCACACGAGGGTGCGAGAGGTGATCAGAGATCACACGAGGGTGCGAGAGGTGATCAGAGATCACACGAGGTTGCCAGAAGTGATCGGAATGCTCACATGACACCACAAACATCCTCGATCTCACTCGCTAACAAAGTCACAACCACCATATTAAGGGTCAATAAGTCCCCAAATAACGAGCTATAGAATAATTAACTGACCGAAAAATCAAACTAATTAGCCAGAAAAGAAGGTATCCCAACAGGAGTCACAAACAAAACTCTCGTGTTATCGTGTATTGTATCTGTCACCTTCCCAGCTGCCACACAGCTCACCAGAAACACTAATAGATTCACAGATCAGTTACTAACGCTTATGTAAACTGAAAGAAAAAGTGACTATAGCCGAACATATTTAATAGAGAATGCAAAAAATTCGACAAAAAATCGATTAAAAAACAGATCATTGCAATACTAGCTGCCGCCTGCGCTGCAAATAATCCTGCCATACATCACCCAGTCAACACAGCGTAGCTAATTATTAGCCCATTTAAATTATATTATTTCAGCATCAAACGACTGCGTACTAGCTGCTTTCCTTGTATTATTTTTTTGCTTAGTGGGAGAAATTTAAATTCTGAGGGCTAAATTTTGTTTAATTTTGTGTATACATGCCGGGAATTCTTATAATCGGTTCTTATAGCTCTGTAGTGTGTGTAGGAGAGTGAATGAGAGTGTTAAGAGAGTAGAGTGAGTAATGAGTGATAATTGTAGGAGTTGATGGGGGAGTGAAGAATACCGTATGAAGGAGAATAGTGTAAGTGAAGGAATAAGGGAGTGAATAAAGAATAAGAGAGTAATATGAAAGTATAATAGGAGAAGAAAACAGTGTAGGGAGATGTAAGGATGAAGATAGTGAAGGAGAAGTGATGATAAGGGAGTGAATGAGAAGGAGAGTGTGGAAGATGAAGGAAGACTATAGGATAGTGAAGGGAAGAATGTGGGGGAAAGGAAGGAGAAGTATGGAGTGGAAGTGAAGGGAGAGTAGAACATGAGGGATAGAGTGGGTGAGGAAAAATGAGGAGAGTCAAGACATATGAGGGAGGTAGTGAGGTAGGAAAACCAAGTGGGAGAGAGAGAGAAAGAGGAGAGGAGTGAGAGGACGAGTGGGAGAGAGAGAGAGAGAGAGAGAGAGAGAGAGAGAGAGAGAGATTTCACTAGAGCTGGATACCCTTCATAATCTCAGGGCTGGAAGGACTTGATCACGACGTACAAGATACGTATATAACCCTGTACAACCAACAGCCACAGCTTGTTTGTAAGGAGAGTTATCAAATGACGTGAGTCATATGATAACCAGCAATTGGAGCTTTTGGTCATCTGAGGCCTTCCACTGGTTTATCTAGTTTACCTGGTTTACCTGGTTTAAATTTAAGATTATATTTTTTGAGGGAGAAACAGAGCAAAGAAACAAATGGTAGCCGAAGACGAACATATATCAGGAATGCTTCATTAGTTATTTCTTCAGTCTGAGGATGGTTGGGAAATGAAACCATCTGGATAAGGAAGTGGTGGATACAATCCATACACAGTTGTAAGAACAGGTATGATTGGTTCCACGAGGTCAGAAATTTCGTTCATCAGATCGTTAGTAAATGAGAAACCTGCCGGGCCTGGATTCAAGATTCAACTCCCGCAGTGCCATTTAGATGAGTATAACTAGTCAAACACACAGAGAAGAGGTGGTGCCAAGAGCCAAGACTCGGCCCCTACAACCACAAACAGATGAATACAAATAGGTGAGTACACGATAAAGCTCTTGGAGCAGGGAGAGAGTGGACCTAGTAGCGATCAGCGAAGAAGTGGGGCCAGGAGCTGTGACTCGACCGTGCCAACCACAAAAGGTGAGTGACCACACACTATACACACACACACACACACACACACACACAACAAACACACACACACACACACACACACACACACACACACACACACAGAAGATTATGGAAGGCTTTACAATAAATCCCAAATAAATATTTTAGCACACTCTGAATGCCAGTTTAGGTGCCGGCCAACATATCTTGATGTATTCCCATATTTCAGTCACTACAAATATAAATTTAACACAACCATAAATTTATTCATATAAAGAGGGAAGAATTATGCAGGCTCGAACTACCGATCCACTGGACTGTAAATTCAGTAATAATTATCAATCGCAACTGTGTTATTGCTCACCCATGACGCCCAGGCACGGTACTAGCCCCATGTCCAGTGATACGGAGTTCGAGCCTACAGATGGCACTGTATGAAAGTGGGTTGTGAGACATGTGTACACATTCTTTCTGGTATCTGCTATATGTATACAGCATTATGATATAAGTATATAATATGCTGATTTATGGATATATAATGCCGATATATGCCTACAGCATGTTGATGCATAAATGCTGTGCTGATATATGAAGACAATATGTTGATGTATGTATACAATAGGTAGGAAGTATATAGAGTGTTCTGCAGGCTGTGAACGGTGGTGTGGTAATGGTGAGTTTCTACAACCACTTCCTGACCTGTAGCGAGCAAGCCACCGTCAAGGATGTTGTGGGTGAGTGTTGGATCACACCTTCCTGTCTCTCTACATGGACAGAAGTATAGTCGCACCTGTCTATGTCTCAATCTTTCTTCTTATGTATCTCTCTCTGTCTATGTTTCACGTTCCGTCTGTCTCTATTCCTCTTTGCCTCGCATTCTTGTTGTGTCTCCTTATCTCCTTTACTAAGTGCCTTCCCTCTCTCTCTCTCTCTCTCTCTCTCTCTCTCACGCATCTGTTATATGTATTTTATTCATGCTCACTATAAGCATTTCAATTCCATTCTCGTCCAAAAATATCTATATAAGAGTCACATAAAAGAATAATATATAGGTCAGTGGCTTCCCATTACATATTTATGTCTCTGGGTACGTGTGAATGGGGACCAATATTTATCCTGCTCTGCTGTTTATGTATGTGTATTCAAGTGTGTGTGTGTGTGTGTGTGTGTGTGTGTGTGTGTGTGTGTGTGTGTGTGTGTGTGTGTGTGTGTGTGTGTGTGTGTGTGTGTGTGGTGTGTTGTGTGTGGTGTGTGTGTGTGTGTGTGTGTACTAGCGTGTGCAGGAGATTCAGATCCTGGCCCCACTTTCTAACTACTTGGATAGGCATTCTTGATTTCAGGGTCGATCCAAAGACTGGAAGGCTGAGTCCAGTTCTTTGGATCAAGAGTCCCTCACCTGCATCAAGACACCTCCCTGGAGCGGTGGTTTTCTGTAAAGACTCTCCTCTTCAACTGCTCCAACATCATTTTCCTTACAGTCTTTCCTGAACTTTTCACCGTATACAGAGTTGCTGACCTGTAATTTCGTATCTCTTATCTGTTCCCTTTTTATATACGTTAGACCATATTTTACTTTTACCAGTTTTGTGACAGCTGCCCTGATTGGAAAGATTGGCTGAAGTCCTTTGCTGTTGAGTCACAAATTGGTGTAAGAAAAAAGGACTGCCAAGGTGGCAGTGAGGCAGAAGCTGTCCACATACTGAATAACAAGGGAGACCAGTGTTCCTCTTAAGAAAATAAACAGATGAAAAACGCATACCTCATCAATGAACAAATATGCATAATATATGTTTATAACTGGGGAAAAATTAAGAGATCCTGTTTTTCCCACTAATAAACTAACATGAAAATAATTCTCATCCTGGTTTACCGCACGTTGTGTACGACCCATTCCACATGTTGGAGAAGTGACAGAACGGGAGAGGCTTGAACCTATGGTGAGTCCTAAGACTGACAGGCCAGTGTGCTAACCACTCGGCCACCTGGCTGAGTGGTTAACGTACTAGCCTCTGAGTTTCAGGACTCATCCACCATGGGTTCAAGCCCCACCCGTTCCATAATTTGTTTAGTATCGTGTTATTACGATTTCGTGACGCATGTTTAAGAACACCAGGAATAACTACAAGAACACTATAATATCACACTGGCAGACAGCCAAAAGTGTGTCACAATTAACTCAGTTCAAGATCAAAGTCACAACCGGCAAGCAAATATAAAGACATTATACGTGTAAAGTCAAGACTATCCAATAACATACATGGCTGCTTACATGAGCAGGTGAGAGGTAAATGGTGAAGAGACAGGAGACGCAGTGCCTTGTCAGAAAGCAAAACATAAAACTAGAACAGAAAGGAAAGGTATACGTCCATGTCACCAGGACTTCCATCCCACTCGTAGTTGGATATCTGACTCACAGATGGCGCTGACGTGCATACACTGGTGAGTGACACGAGAGGTACAAAGACCCAGCCACGACGCGTGTATATAGGAACTTTCCTCCCTCACAGTTCTGTTACTTCTTTCAACACCCAGGGAGATATGTCGTCTGGTCCCATTTCATTCGTTGCATCAAGCTTCACTAGTGGTAACATCAAGAGTTTTCCACTAGTTTTATGATACGAGAAACCTTATCCAACACTCCGGTTCGCTTGTTTTTTTTTAAGAACAGTGTTACCAGAGCGACAACTTTTCCCATTCACAGTTTAGAAACCTACACAATATTGACGAGCACACCTCATCCTGAGTTTAGAGTCACTATCACAAACCTAGTGAGAGAGGTAAATCTTCCTCACTTGGCTGCACATGTGAGAGCCAGTTCAGTCTTACGATTGTGGTTATAATTTGATCTGTAACATAAAACTAAACAGATGTATTTCGGTCGCTGCACGGTCCGAGAAAGGTAACCCTGTCTTGCATAACCCCAGGACTCAATACCTCAGTGTACGCTGAAGATGTTTTTACAGAGTGTCTTAAGTCCATAATGCAGTTAAATATTAATGCTGAAGATCTGTCCGTGTGGACATTAATATCCCATTTTTTTCAATAACAGTTAAAGATAAATTTTCTTGTTATCTCACAGGGACCAAAGTCCTAAAACACACCAGCACACTAAGTGTGAATCCAGTTAGAATTTGAATAATTAAGTTATCTTCATTATAAGGCAAAGGAAATTTAAAAGGTCCTCAGAAACTGTGGCACGAAAATCTGCATTTCAATTTTGCCATTTTTTTCTGTAAGAAAAAGGGAAATTGGGATCAGCACGGGCCAAAATTAATTGAAATTATTTTTCTCTGAGTAAGATTTACCAGCGTTTAAAGTTTAAGTATATATGTAAATGTGTTAGAATGGTATATAATACCGACAAGATGAAATTAAGACACATGTGCAACATCTGGGTATCTTTATTGTAGACGTTTCGCCATCCAGTGGCTTTATCAATACAGATTCCAGGACATAACTTGAAGACAGTAGGACTATATACAGAAGATGAGGTAATCAGTCCCTCAACCTTGGATTAGGTGAGAAGAGCACCGTAGTCGTGGAGATTCTGAAGCAGAAGCAAGAAGCCTGGCGCTTATATAGTAACGTCAGGTGTAGCAGACGAAGGCATAGTCACTGGTAGGCGGGATTCCCCAGTGGAAGTAGGTCCTTCCCAAAGAGATGGGTTAGTTGTAGTAGTAGTTGTCGTAGTCGTGAAGGTTATGTACATGTCCTCAGAATCAAGATTCCATGATGTTACAGTGTCTGACAAGTTGTGCAAGAATGGTATACAATACCGACAAGATGATATTAAGACACATGTGCAACATCTGGGTATCTTTATTTGTATTGATAAAACCACTGGATGGCGAAACGTCTACAATAAGGATACCCAGATGTTGCACATGTGTCTTAATTTCATCATACATGTAAATAATTAAAATTTATTAAATGAACATTATAAAGACGTAACACAGGATTAACCAACAAATTCAGGGATTTATTACTAACACAGTCAGGGATTTATTACTAACACAGTCAGGGATTTATTACTGATCAGCAATTTCCAGTTATTTCACGGAATCCCATTTGATTGATAAAACTGGCGTATTAAAGCTTACATAAACTGAAGTCAAGATAAAGCTTCCATTAAGGAAACCACATCAGCACTGAAAGTTTAAAACCGACCAAAAGAGGCATTTTCCAGTTAATACACAGAACCCATCATAAAGCGACTGTGGAAGGTGATGTATTCTGATTTAATTTTGGCAAGAGGACGATAACTCCAGTTCTTGGATCAAAAGCCCCTCACTAGCATCAAGGAAAAAATGCAATAATGTAAAAAAATGCTATATCATTTCGAGATTAAAAGTGGAACGTAAACACTCCATTAACACCCAGACTAAAGTTATGTGGCATCTTTTTTCTTACAGAATTCATCATCAATAATATTGTGAAGCCGTTGGGAAAAAAATTATTTATTGACAACAAAAGAATATCAATATTTATTCATTAACACTGGCAAGTTGGAACTTACGCCACCCAATAACTGCAAGAACTTCGTGTTCAGGAAACTATATCAGTGGTAAAAATTTGAAGCCGGTCAGATGAGTCATTCTCCAGTTTTGGCACGGTCTCCAAAGATTCCAAGTTCTTAAGTATTTTACTGCATCAACAAATTTGACTGCAGGCAAACAGAACTTGATGGGTACTATCTTGGCCATAAGATGTCTCAGCCATTAAATACTGAAGTCGTTCAGTGGAGGCAAACTGAAATTTATGTAACAGAATTTAACAGGAATAAAAATTTCACTGTTTTACTCACAAAATCGTCAACTCTGCACCTACCAACCTGAAGGTCACTCTCCATCCTTGTCCAGTGAGGAGGCACCTTGTTGCAAACTTTGAATTATTAATATTATTAGTATTAGTATTGTTAATTTTATTATTATATTATTATTATTTATAATTTTATTATTACTTATAATTTAATTATTATTATTATTATTATTATTATTATTATTATTATTATTATTATTATTATTTTATAATTTTATTATTATTATTATTATTAATTTTATCATTATTCAATTTATTTTTATTATTATTATTATTATTATTATTATTATTATTATTATTATTATTTTTATTATATCCACCGCCGACCCCACCAAGGCGGGGTGGCCCGAAAAGAAAAATTTTTCAACCATCATTCACTCATCACTGTCTTGCCAGAAGGGGTTTTACACTACAGTTTTTAAACTGCAACTTTAACACCCATCCTTCAGAGTGCAGGCACTGTACTTCCTCCCCGGGACCAATCCGGCCTCCCGGTTTTCCCTAAATCCCTTCATAAATTTACTTTGCTCACACTCCAACACACGTCAAGTATTAAAAACCTTTTGTCTCCTTCACCCTATCAAACACGCTCACGCATGCCTGCGGGAAAGTCCAAGCCCCTCGCAAAACAAACCCCCCTTTTTACCCCCCCCTCCACCCTTCCCTGGGCCACCCCTACCCCCCCGCCTTCCTTCCACAACAGACGATACCTCTTGAAGCATTCTTTTTTCGCTCCTTTCTCTCTACATGTCCGAACCACCTCAACAACCCTTCCTCAGCCCTCTGACAAACATTTTGGTAATCCCGCCCTCCTCCTAACTTCCAAACTACGAATTCTCTGCTTTAATTTTCACACCCACACATGCCCCCAGACAGACATCTCCACTGCCTCCACCTTTTTCCTCGCTGCAACATT